TATGTACTAGTTACCAGCTCGGCATGTATTTTCTCATATTTTATAATATACATTCCAGTGGAATGATCAATAAATACATAGTTCATTACCTTCTATATCTCCTGCCTATACCAATTGCACATGTGTAACAACGTGGCCCATTAGTATGGCAGTACTTACTGTATTTGTATGTAAATTTTTCCCATTTCAAGATTTTGTTTTCATGTTTCAAATTGATACTTTAGATCAACATTACTATAAAAATGATATTAGGAGAAAATGCATTCTATCTGCAGAGGTCGGCATTTCTTTTACTATCACCAGAAGTCATTGAGAGACCAAAAAATGAGACCATTTTCAGAGGCAGTCTTTGTGTAATAGGCCGAACCCAATTAAATTGCTAACTCTATCCAGCAATCTATTGCTCTCTCTTTTCTCCCTCAACAAAAGCGGCAGCCGCCCCTCCCTCCTATCTTCACAGTGCCATCACCCAGGTGCACCAACGCCACCCCCTCTCCAGTTTTGATGCGCGTGCTTCCCTCCAGCACTGCTGCACTGGACTCACATGGACGCGCCTCCTGCCAGTTCCTTCACCGTGCTGCATCCGTGCATTTTTGGATACTCCCATTCCCCATGTGGATTGGAGGGGTTGAGGGGGAAATGAACTAATTTTCCCTTCACTCCTGATATCCCTATGGGGAATGATTGATCCAAAGGAGTCCTTAGAGACCGCTGCCTCCTTTGTTTGCCTGCATGTGACCCATCCAGTCCAGATCCGCCCAAAGGTTTGCTTGTCCATCACCCCTTTTGATCCAACGTTTGCTTTGGTTTTATGTGGCTTGACCATGATGGGAAGACAATGGGAGCATATGACTGCGAGATCCATGCAAGGTCTTCTATCATGTGGACAAGGAGAGGAAGGAGATCCAGGCTCGGATCCAGGATCCAGCTTGGTTCGGCCTTTCCAGGCACAACAACACAGGCAGGTGTCGTGCTGGTGGCGTGTGCATCCCAGGCGTTTGCTGCGTTGACGGCAAAGGCTAAGGAAGTCACCGCTGCCATGCAGTGACACTACTACTAAAAATATTTTGATACACAGGCTTGTTTTATTAATAGAGGCGGTGACGAGAGTTGAACATAGGGGTATGTTAAGTCCCTGGAAAGGAAGAAGCCGATTGACGGACCTATCCTGATCGGGTACGCTCACGCGCACCCTCTGGAAGGAGTCAAGGAGAGCCCGAGCATGCATGTAGCCATGGCGAGCTCCCAAGCCCCTATCTGTCAAGTGCTAGAACAGTGGCAGTGGTGTCAGGAGGTGGTTGTAGCTCTGTCGACTCCTCCCTACGCGACAAGGCGAGGTCCATCAACGCTGCGATAGAGGACTCGTGCACCCCGGTGCATAGACCATAGATTAGAACCAAAACCAACTTGTACACCGACCCTCCTAGGAATATAAGGGGAGGGGCGGCTCCTATAGAAGTGGATGATTCCCAAGAGAACTAAAGAACCTCAGTTAGAGAAGGCCGGTTTCTTACTCGCTGAGGAAGAACCCCGACGAGCACAAGGATGGCACCGAGCGATCACCTACCAAACTCTCTCGATTTTCCATCGTTGTAATCCCCGATTAGGCATTCCTAACACGAAGATCACTATACATTGCTGAGCGTAGGGCTCAGAAGCCCAAACCTGGATAAATCGATGTGTCCCTTCCGTGTTTTGAGTGTCCTAGTCACCGGAGACCCACACATCGACTTCCAACGAACAACCATGATGTTCGCTGTGGTTACGAACCCATGACAAGCGGTCACAAAATTTTACATGTCTCCTAAAATATCTGAGGCTTTTTAGAGGTGGTTTTTTATTTATGGAGACGATCAAAGTTGCCCGTCTCTCAAAATAGATTTACCGATACGGCTGGAAATTGCCCGTCTCTCAAAATCAATTTATAGAGGTCTTTAAGAGGTCCGCCTCTGAAAATAAGGCAATTTTCAGATAGAGAAACCTTAAGATGCCCGCCTTGTTAATAGATGTACCCAACTGGCCCATCTCTTAGCCTAGAGTCCCTCAAGTATATAAGCACATCGTCTCGGGGTTCTCATTCTACTCCCTCTCTCGGCCACCACCTCCAACTCTCTACATCTCATAGCCACCTCTCTCTGTCTCTTGCTCTACATTCTCTCACGATCTAACCGATGGAAGCCCATAGCTCCACCTCCAGTGGCTGTGCTCGCGCAAGGGCGCATGCATCGGCTGGCCGGGCACACACCCTCCGGCGGTGGTGCACGAGGGCCTCTCCGGCGGCGGCACTGAGCAGGTGAAAATATTTACTGGGGCTTACCTTATCTAGTGGCAGTGCACGGTGGTAGATCCAGCGTGCATCGGCGGATCCGGCACGACGGCAGCACATCAGACTGCACGCACTTGGGCACGGCTGCAACAGCTCCACCTACACGCTCCGGCACGGCTGCAGCGGCTCCTCCACCAATGCCTCCCCACCACCGCCATGGTCCGAAGGGCGTTGTAGATCTTTTTTTAAAACGAACCGGCAGGAGAGCTGCCCGCTATATTAAAAAGAAGGAACGTCCAGACGGACACTGTACAAACTCAGTCAACTTGACTCTGTACACAACTAGAAAATCAAAAAACACAATTGAAAACTAGGAGAGAAGTTGTTGTGGAGGAAGGAAAGTAGAGAGGTGCTTTGCTCCCGCCAAGATCCACAGTCTCGCCTCGTCTTTGATTCTATGAAGAACCATAAAATTGGTGGACTCTGTGTGCTAAAAAACTCTCGAATTCCTCTCCTTCCAAACTTCCCAACAAACTAGTATAATGATGACGTAGGCCTTTCCTCCTCATTACGGGCGCATTTGACATCGCCGTCCACCACTTCTCAAGTGTGTCGCTGTGGCCATGCACTCGGGTGTAGGTTGGAGTTTTGTGCCCGGTGGCAATTTCCTTCTAGGGGTAACCGTGAATCTGCAGTCCCTAAAAGATGAAGGCCTATTTCGCATGAAGCCGGCATAGTGTGTGCAGGTTCCTTGGTTTGGCCACCTCCGAGCTTCCAATCTATCAGCGGTCCAAACTCGGTTTTGAATCTAAGCCAACTGAAGAATTTGCATTTAGGCGGTGCCCTAGGTTTCCAAATGAGTGCCTCAAAGTTGTTTTTGGTTGCACCAATCTGGCATATAAGAGGATGTTGTGTATTCACCATTTTCCTCAAATTTCCAGGAAAGGTTATCTGGCGTGCATGTTCTTAGAATTATGCGCCTAGTTGCTTGCCATAGATGTGTGTATTCAGCTAAGTTGTTGGGCAGAGAAACTATGATGCTGAAGGTTGATGTCGCGAATCCAATTATTATCAAGGAGTGCCTGTTGCAGAGTTCTATTTTTCCTTCTGGAGATGGCAAAGAGGTGCGGCGCTACGTCGCATGGCCGCTGGCCGTCGAGCCATGCACTCGTCCAGAACAATGCTCTTTTTCCGTCTCCTATTGTTAATGTTGTGGATGCCGCAAAAAGGAGCTGATCGGTCGTGTTACATGGGGTTTCATCCCCAAGACTACCATCCGAACTTGCTGACCATTGTCGCCATAGCCATCTCAACCTTAATGCCCTTGCAAACTTCCCTAGATGGATGATGCCCAAGCCTCTAGAATATTTGGGTCTAGCTGACCTCGGCCAATTGACGTTGCATTTTCCTCCTGTTAGCGTCTCGGCGCCTGCCAACAGGAACCTCTTCCTCTGCCGATCGATGTCCTTGATTGTCTCTTTTGGTGCACGGAGGGATGTGAGGAAGTAGACTGCTTGCGAAGTAAGGACTGCTTTAACCAGAGTGGAGCGAAGCTGACCGTTTTGTCTACCAGAGGCTGGAAGTCCACACGCCTTAGGCGCTGATGCGTTAACGGTAGGCCTAGGTATTTGGTTGGGAAGCATGAAATTTCCGTTGGAGAGCCAGCAAGGATTTCATTTAGATTTAATCCTTCACACCGTATAGGGATGATTTTGGATTTCTGAAAGTTGGTTTTTAGTCCTGAAGCCTCTCCAAACAAAGTTAGGAGCTCGGCCATAGCCAAGATGTCTTCCCTTGTTGGCTTGACAAAAATGGCCGTGTCGTCAGCATACATTGAAGCTCTAATTTGAGTTGTTCTTCCCCTTAGCCTAGACAAATGTCCTTTTTCGGTTGCTAGATCAAGCAGTTTTTGCAGTGGATCCATTGCTATGACAAACAATAGAGGTGACAGAGGATCGCCTTGACGAAGCCCTCTGCCATGTTTGATACGCGCGTTTGGGATGCCATTCAACAGAAACCTCATCGAAGAGGTGAATAGAAGTGCAGCGATCCAGTCTTGCCATTGACTAGGAAATCCAAGCTTATTCAACAGAGTGAGGTGATATTCCCATCTGACTGAATCAAATGCTTTGGCGATGTCGAGCTTGAGGAATATTGTTGGCAGCTTAGAATTGTGGTAGCGTCTTATTGCATTGCGGATGGCCATGTAGTTGTCATGGATGCTTCGTCTTTTGATGAAAGCACTTTGCGTTGGGGAGACAATGGAACTCATATGGGGCGCTAGCCGTAATGCAAGTACCTTGGCGATTATTTTGGCAAAGGAATGAATCAGGCTGATAGGTCGGAAGTCTGTAATAGCTTCAGCACCATCCTTTTTGGGAATCAAAACCACGTTGGCTGAGTTGAGGAGTGCAAGACTGTTTGTCCGTAGTGAATGGAAGGCATTCGCCGCATTGACGATATCAACCTTGATGATGTCCCAGCATGATCTGAAGAAGGCGCCAGTGTATCCATCTGGCCCCGGTGCTTTGTCAAACGGCATTTGGTGGATAGCATGTTTTATCTCCTCTTCAGTAAATGTTGCGTCCAGTCCACTAAGATCATGGGATGGCAGGTTCAGCTCATCCCAGTTGATGTCGTGCTGCCGTGCTGGAGGGTGTCCCATGAAGTTTGAGAAATGGTCCTGTATTACAGAAGCTTTGTCATCATGGTTTATTGCCCAGCCATGGCCGTGTCACAATCTTTGGATGTGGTTTTTCCTTCTCCTTGCATTTACTTTACGGTGAAAATATTTTGTGTTAGCATCGCCCAGCTTGATGGACGACAGTCTCGAGGCTTGTTTACATCTAGCTCTTTCGATCACTGCTAGCCCCAAAATTCTTATCTTGAGCTTAGCCCGTAGAAGCAGCTCAGCGGCCGTGAGACTTCTATTTTCTTCGGCGATATGGAGCCTTAGGATAATCTCTTGCGCCATGAAGAAAAGTTTTTTGGCGTCAGAGTTGATTTCCTTGCTCCATGCTTTCAGTTTTTGCGAAGTAGAATGCAGTTTGTGGCACAGGACATGAAACGGCTCATGGTGGTCCGTTGGAGTATCCCATGCAGTCCTGACTACATCTTTGAATCCTGGGAGTTTGACCCAATAATTTTCAAACTTGAACGAGCTTGGCCTTCTAGGTCCCGATTGGTTGGATAGCAGCAGAGGGCAATGGTCGGAGAGTGATGTTGACAACGCATTCAGGATGTGGTTGCTGAAGGTAGCGTCCCATTCTGCGTTACAGAAAAAGCAGTCGAGTCTTGACATTGTGGGTCGTTGCCTCTCATTTCTCCAAGTGAATTTTCTGTTCTGAAGGCTAATTTCAGACAGATCACACTCATCTAGCGCCTCACGGAAGTGGAGCATTAGGCGTGGGCTTAGGTTCCTGTTGTTTTTGTCTGCAGCTCTATAGATGAGGTTGAAATCGCCCGTGATGAGCCACCGCATGCTTGGTGCTGGCTTTAGCGCTTTTAATTCATCAAGAAAGCGTAGCTTGTCCGCACGACGACGCGATGGTCCGTACACCACTGTAAGCAGGAAGCTGGCGTCCGAGTCTTTTAGCTGAACGTTCGCCGAGACGTGGAATTCACCGATGGTGATGTCAGTGCAGCTTACCCGACATTCGTTCCATAGTATGATGATGGGCGTTGTAGATCCGGCCGCTCAGAACCCAGATCCGGTTGCTGCAGGGTGGATGGAGCCTATGACGATGCAGCACTGAGCTACAGCGGCGACAGGCTCGCTGCAGGCTCAATGGGCTCGCTAGCGGGTTTTTGTTTTCTGATATTATTTCCGGAGGCTGGCATTTCTGCTGACTCTTCAAATCTCCATTAACAGTGATGATGTCTCGGATGCGGATGTGTTGCCCACCTCCGGAAATGTCTTTCGCCTATCTCCAGAAAAGGGTTCGGTAGCAGTGTGACGCTGACGGTGCAGTGCTAGGTGCTTTATTATTTTTTAATCAATTTTTTAGAGGCGGGTATTGTAACACATGGTCTCTAGAAACGAAGTTTCACAGGTGGTCATTCGTTAACATCTATGGAAATCTTGGCTAACATAGACCATGTTGTTCAGGTGGACAGTGAGCCCGCGGGTCTGTGAAATCTGTATTCCGGTAGTGCAAATGTCATGTATATATATCAAAACAGAAATTAAGATAAAAGGCCTGTACAACATTACTGACTCTGGAATATACTTCTTCCTTATCATGTAAAACATAACTACTAGTGGATGATTTGACCATCGGAAAGCTTTACAAAAGTCGATTAGGTTTAAATACCCAATTTGTATGTGTGAGAGCGACTGATTAGTAAATCTGTAATATAACCATGTTTTAGCTAAACCATATGGTGCCCCTGGCTACAAATCTGAATCCATGAATGCATCCACGTTCCATCATTAAATTGGCTATCAGTTGCCTCTTTAGAACTGTTTATGTCTGAAGGTTCAGACTGGTTGCAACTGATTCAAACCAGTTGCTACCCTGTACTTTAAATTGCTTCTACTGAATATTACCCTCATATGTACTGAAATTACTTTTGAGCTGCCTGTGATGTACGACATGGATTTAGATATAGTAGGCTCTGTCATTCTTGTTGTGGATCCAGTAAAATGTGGATTGTTTCAAGTCTCCCTCGGAGTGCCTTCACAGACTACCGGGCTTGTGCTGAATTTTTGAAGTGCTTAGTGTTAAATGGTTAATATGTGCTTTTGGAATTGGGTAAAGTTGGTCTGTTCTGCTGCAACACATGGCAGGCTCGGTGGGCCTCCACAGCGGGCTTGCTGGGCTTGCGGGTCTCCACAGTGGGCTGGCTGGGCTTGTCAATTTTTTATTTAATTTGCTAAATTCATTTACACTGACGGGAAAGTAAGCCGCCAATGGAAATCTTGATTAACACATGTGTTCTGCTTTAGTCGGTTGTCTTGAGCGCTTCGGATATTATCTTTTGCCTGCCTCCAGAAAGTGTGTCACGAGTGGTGAGCACAAGCAAATATCAATCTAGATGTATACTCATACATATTAAAGTTATAACATGGCTTAGTGCGCTGGTCAGAAAATACGATGTCTGAATTTTGTGGAAACATGTACATTATATGAAATGGAATGGAGTCTGGTTTCATGTAGTAGGAAAATATGTGTGTGGGAAGCATTTGTTCACTTATATATGCATTTGACCTTAAAGATATAATTGGTGACCTTAATAAATATAACTGGTGACCAAAAAGGTGTGTAATAAAAAAAAGAGCTAATTAAAGCAAAGGACCACCAGAGCTAATTAAAGCAAGAACATCTTTCGGGGCATAGAAGCACTTGGACTATCCATAAGTAGAACCTGATGGCTGCAAGCAGGTAGCGTCCTGAGCCCTCATAATCACTATGCCAGATTTGGACATCATTGTCGGCCTCATCACTATCGGATTTGTGAGAACCGATAGTGATGTACCTTCACTGTCGGTTATGAGCTTGAAAATGAGAAAATGATTGGGGCTGGGCTAAAACCGGCAGTGAAGCACCACATCACTGCCGGTTTGTGGCTTGAACCGGCAGTGTTTTGGCGGGCACTCATCACTGCCGGTTCAAGCCACAAACCGACAGTGATTGGTCTCTATCACTGTCGGTTCTAGCCAAGAACCGACGGTGATAAGCCTACAGCATAAAAAGGCTGCAGCCGTCCTCTTTTTCCTCCCCTCTTCCATCCCGAGAACAGAGGCGTGCTTTTGGGTCCTTCCCTCCATTGTTGCGGCTGCTCTTCACCATGAAGCTAGTGCTTGGATTTTGAAGAATGGCTTGATCTTTTGCTTTAAGGTTAGTAACAAATATCCACTCATTTGATCTTGTTGCTTATTTAGCTTCGTTTTGATGGCTACATTGCTTGATTCTCATTCTAGTTCTTTCTCCATTATAGAGAGCACTTTTTCAATTGGACATTTATGCAAGGCTCAAATTGTGGTGAATCTATCATTCAAAAGGTTGGTGTCTATGAACACATTTAAATTTCTAGCTAATTATTCTATGGTGGTCAAGATCATCATTGTTAGTATGTGATGCTATAATTAGTTCTTAGAAGTAGAGTAGAATAGTTGTTCTTCAATATTGTGCAATAATTGTTTTTTACTACGATTTTTAATTTACAGGGCCGGGGCTACCAATTTCAATCTTTCAATAATTAGTGTACAATAATGTTTTCCAAAAATGGTACTTCCGAGCTATAATTGTTGTTCATGAAGCTCGATTTCTTATTAATTCTTTGTAATTACTGTCTCAGTATTTTTTTGTGCAGAGATGGATCGAGAGTGGATGCATCTGTCCCGAACGAACAAGCGGTACATGCATGGCGTCAGCCAGTTTATCACCGATGCCAAAGCCCATGCTGGGAATGAGAACCCTGTCTTTTGCCCATGCAAAGATTGCAAGAATCATAGGAACTTTCGTCAAATTGAGTCTATACGATCGCACTTGATTACCAGGGGGTTCATGCCAAACTATACGATATGGACTATACATGGCGAGGTTGGTGTGAATGTTCTGCAGGAAAACGATGATGATGTGGACATGCTTGACATAGCCATCCACGATGCTGACGAGGAACCCGGTGTCAACACGGAACCTATGGCCATAGTTAATAATGTGTTTAGGAACACGCTAGCTGACGATACCGAGGATAACGATGGCAATTTTCAGCTGCTACGTAATGTAGAGATTGGATGTCTTAGTGAAAGACAGCTGAGAAAGCTAGAGAAAATGAGACAAGATGGTAAAACACCATTGTATAGGAATTGTCCAATGAGCAAACTAGAAGCCGACATCATGCTGTTAGAGTTCAAATCGACAAACGGATTGAGTGATAAAGACTTCGATTAATTGTTAGGTATAATAAGGAAAATGCTCCCAGAAAAAAACGAGTTGCCAGAAAAGACATACTTGGCCAAGCAAATGATCTGCCCCATCAGTCTCGAGGTTAAGAAAATACACGCGTGTTCCAATGATTGCATATTGTACTATGGAGAAAAATACAAAGACTTGGACAAGTGCCCCAAGTGTGAAGCTCCATGGTACAAGGAAGGGCCGTCAGATGAGGGTACCAAGACCAGAGGAGGTCCCGTAAAGGTCGGTTGGTATTTCCCTATAGCTCCGCGGGTGCATAGGCTATTTGCATGTGCAAAGTCAGCCAAGCTGTTGCGCTGGCATGGCGACGAGCATAAGAAAGATACAATGATGAGGCACCCCGCCGATGGGCATGACTGCAGGACTGTCAATACTATGTTCTATAAGGACATCAGTGGAGAGGTAAGGCACCTTTGGTTTACTTTGAGCACAGATGGGATGAATCCTTTCGACCAGGTTAGAAGCAATCATAGCACCTGGCCAGTGACGCTCTGTATATACAACCTTCCACCTTGGGTCTGTATGAAGCGGTTGTACATCCAGATGCCACTACTAATCCAAGGGCCAAGACAACTTGGGAATGACATCGATGTGTTTCTGAAACTAGTGATCGATGAACTAGTGGAGATGTTTGAAAAGGGTGTGCCGGATGTTTGGGACGAGTACAAAAGGGAACATGTCACAATCAAGGGAGTACTTATCGCTACAATCACCGACCTGCCAGGTCGAGGTTCATTGTCGGGAGAGAAGACAAAAGCCTATACTGGATGTGTTGAGTGCTTGGACGACACCGATGCGGTAAATCTGCCAAATAACTCAAAAATAGTTTATATGGGACACCGTAGGTTCCTACCTAAGGATCACCCATACCGCAGGAACAAAAAAGATTTCAACGGTACTATTGAGAAACGCTTAGCTCCAAAATATCGAGATGGGCCTGCGATACTTCGAGAACTCAACAAACTAGAGGTTGTCCTTGGGAAGGGGGACAATGCTGTAGCAGCGCCTGATGGGAGCGTTTGGAAGAAAAAATCGGTTTTCTGGAAACTACCTTACTGGCCATTTCTGAGTGTACGCCACTGTCTTGATCCCATGCACATCACTAAAAACGTGTGCGCTAACACTCTTAACACCTTGATGGACACCGGGGGGACCTCGAAGGATTCACTAGCCACACGTCTGGACATGCAACACTTAGGAATTACGAAGGAGTTGCATCCCGTGGAGCTAGAGAATGGCCAGTTTGAACTTCCGGTTGCGTCATGGACATTGAAGAAGGAAGAAAAGCGTGCGCTTATTTCTTTCTTCAATGAACTCAAAGTCTCGACGGGCTACTGTGCGAACCCAAAGAGGTTAGTGAACATGAGAAAACTCAAGTTCAACTATGGCCTTTGAAGGCCCATGACTGACATGTCATTATGACTTAGCTGCTCCCTGTTGCCCTGCGTGGTATCCTCCCCCCAAAGGTCCGTGCCCCAATCATAAAGCTTTGCTCGTTCTTCAACGCGATCTCAAAAAAGGTCATTGATGTGTCCACGCTAGAGCAGCTGTAGCGGGACAT